GTCATGGAGGCTAGAAATCAACGGGAAATGACGGAGGTGATGTGAAGTGGCGGCATATTAGCAACACAGCTGCAGGTAGACAGCACTGGCTTACGTTGATGTAGGGTCAGGAAGTGATTATACGAAACAATCTCTGTCCGAGAGATTGAACTTCGAAAAGTTGCCAAGCTCGAACAAATTTCACAGCATCGCCTATGTCCTCAAAATGTCGAACAGAAAGGGCCGTGCGTGATTTTTCAATAATACACTGCTGCTAAAGGCATCAATGTGCGAATGCAAACGCAAATATCGACGTAAACGGGCTATTGAACACTGGCTACGACGGTAAAATAGGACGAAGAACTCAGAGAGTACCTCTCTGTGATTCAGGCAGCCCATCAGATCAGCAAAATGTTCAGACCGTAGCAGATAAGAAAATTCGTCCAGCAGAACTTTCTCCTAGTCTTGCTGACAACCGATGGATGTCACACATCAAAGAGTGGTAATTGAAAGAAGAAAATCCACCTCATCGAGAGCCTTCGAAAAGATGGCGCTTACATATATGAGGTGACAGGTTTAGACCGGAAATATGCATCTCAAGATAAAAAGTTTGGTATTCTTAAGTCCATCCGATGGGGAATGGACCAGGGAAGGGAGTGGCGACATGAACTTGGGAACCCAACATCAGTATCACGGACGACTTTAGTGATATTATTAATGGATTTTAAACAAACTGGTAAAAATTTATTTATAAAAAAGATCTCCCGTAAAAAAAATTTTTTTTCCGAAATTACCATTTATTTTCGCCTTTATGCATCTCCATCCACAGAAACTCTCCTTACGCGTCCTTTTCAACCAGCAGCAGACAAACGCTGGAATAGCTGTCAATGGCCTTTAATTTTCGCTGTGCTGCTCTAAAACGAGTGCTAGCATGACTAATAAATCAGCAAAGACAGGGTCAACAATCAAAACTCCCTCCTTACTCCTTTCTACGGGAGGCGAAGGCACTCAAATAGCCTGGACTGGTACTAAGTGCAGCAGCAACACACCGACAAGGTCATCATTATGTCGTCCCTTTTTTGAGTGTTGCTTAAAAGCAAGCTGATAGCGGCTAGCGTATGCCAGTACCAATTTGCCATCGAAACAAATGAACGAATCATAAACAGACTAGC